ATGAGACAAAGTGTATGTGAACTGCTGTATGGAAAGTGAATTTGCTCAGTAAATCTTCACCCAAATCACAATTAAAAAAAAAAAAAAAAAGAGTATGAGAATGGTTCAGGACCAGGCAGTATTTAATTCTGTTGTACACAGGGTCTCTACGAGTCAGCTCTGATTCGACAACACCTAACAACAGCAACAATAAATCACTTCTTAAATTCAAGTCCACCTAGTAGATGAAACACCACCTTAAGCACTTTCTGATCATGACAGCCTATGAGTGTTATAATTCTGTGGAAGATTGAGAGCTGCCACCAATTCCTCCCACGTCTATATGCAACATGCCCTTTTGTAATGTGACTACTCCAGCCAGCAAAAAGCCAAGTTATTCCTCCACCCCTGAATCTGGGCTTGACTGTGTGACCTGTTTTAGCCAGTGGGGCATGAGCAAACATGACATAAGAAGAGGCTTGAAAAACACACATTGGAACTTTTCCCCTTTTCCTGTGAGGAACTCTTCCACCACCACAGCAACAAGCTTGAGCTAGCCTGCTGGATGATGAGACATCTGACCATGGTCTTGCCAACAAGCCAAAAGCCAGGCCATCAGAGACCATCCAGCCCCAGCCAGGCAACCTCAGATTAGAAGATTCACTCAGCCAACTCACAGGACTGTAAGAAATACTCATCATGTGTTGTTTTAAGCTACTAGGTACAGAGTGCTTTGTTACACAGCAAAATCTGACTGATACAAACTCCCTTTTAAAAGACACAGTAACTGAAGCTCAAAATACTAAGGTTTGGCCAACAAAGACCTGGCTAGAATATGCAGTGTTGTTGTTATGTGCCGTCAAGTCGGACCCGACTCATAGCAACCCCTCCTTGGGTTTTCGAGGCAGTATCACTACGGAAATAGATTGCCCCATCTTCCTTCTGAGGAGTGGCTGGTGGGTTTGAACCGCCAGCCTTCTGGTTAGCAGTCAAGTGCCTTAGCCACTATGCTACCAGAGCTCCCAGAATATGCAGTAGTGGGATTTAAAACACAATAGTCTAGCAATAGTCTGCCCTTTACCAAGCTTTCTGGTTCCCTAGTGCTGCTTGAAAAGAATATACCATAAATGGGATGGCCTTAACAAACAGGAGTTTATTCTCTTACGGTTTAGAGGGTTTAAGTCCAAGTTCAAAGTGTCAGGCTCTAGGGGCTGGGTGAAAGCCCCTTAGCCTTGGGATTCAACTCTGCCTCCAGCTCCCAGCCCACTGAAGCTAGAGGCTTTTCTTCACTCAGACAGCTGCTGGCTGCTGAGGCTGCCAAGCCCAAAGTTGACAAGTAAAAGGGCACAGTACCAATGTTAGCAAACCACACGGCAGACCATTAACTGAAGTCCATTGTAAGTCCCAAGGTCGGCAGAGCATGTCAGGCTGCTGAATAACAACATGGCTACATGCAGGGTCCAAGCGTGCCATAAACTAGAGACCATACTCAAAGCTGCTTCTTATATATGGGAAGCAGACCACACCCCAAAGGCAGCTACTCAGCTGCCTGTGGCAGATCCCACCATGGAGCTGATTGGCAGTCCCATCATGGGGAATAACTACCACCAGCTGCCCAGCCACTCAACCAGACCCATCCAAGGTAACATACAAATTTAACTACCACAGAAGATGTACATCCAGAATGCTACTTGGAAGTGAGGATGACAAGACTTCATCTCATATACTCTGGACATATTATCAGCAGGGACGACTCCTTGGGGAAGGACACCATGCTTGGTCAAGTAGAAGGGCAGTGAAAAAGAGGAAGTCCCTCAACAAGAGAGACTGACTGACACAGTGGCTACAACAACGGGCTCAAATATAGCAATAGTGAGGTTGGTGCAGGACCACGCAGTGTTTCATTCTGTGGTACATGGGGTCGCTTAGAGTCAGTGGGGTCACTATGAGTCGGAACCAACTGGACGGCATCTAACAACAAGAAGAAGAAGACATCTGAGAGGAGGTGTTCAGGAGGCCACTGGAAATTGGAGCCTGGAGCTCATGGCAGTAAGATGACCAAAGGCAAGCTGAGGGGTGGTCAGTGAGTAGCCCTGCTGGGTAACTCACCCCTCCCGCAGCCTCCCACCACCCCCAGGACATGTGTGTCCCTCGATGTCAGCATATACTCTCGAGCAGCTGAACCCACAAGCACTACATCTAGCCAGGGGTCAACTTACTTGAAACTAAACATGTTTCAAAATGGGTCACCACCACTTGCTCTTTGGATGGAAAAAAAAAGAGACAGAGACAGACAGAAAAAGAGAGAGAGAAGCTCTATCCCAGTTGAATACTGTTGAATGCATTTAACTCTTTGAAGAGAACATCTTTTTATTTTCCAGTTCCCTACACAGTATTTCCACCTTACGCCCCCTCCAGGCAGCACTGAAACAAGTCGTTTTCGGAAAAGGAGAATTTTCTAATAAAGAACCACTTCAATTTCTCCCTCCACTACATCCTTGCTGCCAGTGCAAGCCTTCCAGGAGCTATTCCCTGAAGGTAACTGACTGAAAACAAACATTTACTCAGACTTAGTTTGTGCTTTGTGGAGGTCTACCTGTGAGACTTCCCCTCTTCTTATTTCATTCCCCCAACGTCAGCCTAAAACCAGTTGCCTTGAAGCAAGTCAGTCCTGCCTCATGGCTGCCCCATATGTGTGTCAGAGTGGGACTGGGTTCTCAAGGACAGATCCTTCAAAAACAGATCACCAGGCCATTCTTCCAAGGCACCTCTGGGTGGACTCACACCACCACCATTTCAGTCAGCATCCAAGTGCAGCAAGCATTCGTATTCCCCAAGGATTCCATAGACAGCCCAAGGCAGGTCGAAACCAACTTCCTTCACCGTCACAATTCTGACATGCAACCTGCATTACCATAGTTAAGCTTCCTAACTGAGATTGAATTAAGCTGACTGATTTCTGTTTTCACACAAGGATATCCAATTCCTTCTTGTATACAAGCTCCTGGTCAGATCCTTATTTATTGGAGAAGTTCTTTCTAGATGTTCTTGTGTCGAATCCAGCCAGGGATAAGCCTCATTTTATCCTTCCCAGAACGTCCATTAAATTGAATTGGACTTCGCTGATGAAAGAGCTTGAGTACATCTCCAGGACTGAGAAATGAGTGGCTTTATCAAACTACCACACATTAAGGTCACAAATACGACTGAGTAAATACAAATGAAGTAACTCCATTCAACCTCAATTGAAGCAAATGCCTCACCTCTGGTTACCTGAGAAACCAGAAAATTCATTCAGCCTGTGCAGCGCCTTCTCTGTACGGTGTGGGTTTTGAAGGGTTTTAGCTTAGTGTTAGGTCCTCAGGGCCACACAGCCATGATGTACGTGTCCTGGTGAACAGCACACACCTGGGTGATCAGGTAGCGAGAGACACAGAGGGAGAGAAGCCAGAGGAGAGGAGAGGGGCCAGATCCCAGAGAGGATGGAACAGTCCCCACTGTGGAGTCTGGACGTCATCTTGTATCCATGGGGACCCACTGAAGCCTTTCAAGGGAAAGACACGGTCCTGCTGCTACAATTTACTATTTGCTACAGGCCCTGGGTCATGTGACTTATATGCATTCATTCCTCTAATGATTTGTTGTTGTTGTTGCCTAGTTGATTTTGACTCATAGCAGTGACCCTACATACAACAGAATAAAACACTGCCTGGTCCTGAGCCATCCCCACAATCATTGCCATGTTTGAGGCCATCACTGCAGCCAGTGTGCTAATCCATCTCGTTGAGGGTCTTCCCCGTTTTTGCTGACCCTCTACTTTACCAAGCATGATACTCTTCTCCAGGAACCGGTCCCTCCTGACAATATGACCAAACTAGAAGAGATGAAGTCTGACTTCTAAGAAGCATTCTGACTGTACTTCTTCCAAGATAGATTTCTTCATTCTTCTAGCAGTCCACGGTACGTTCAATATTTTTCACCAATACCACAATTCAAATTCATCAACTCTTCTAAGGTCTTCCTTATTCATTGTCCAGCTCTCAAATGCACAGGAAGCTACTGAAAATACTATGACTTGGGTCAGGCACAACTTAGTCTTTAAAGTGACATCTTTGTTTTTAACACTTCAAAGAGGTCTCTCTTTTTTTTTTTTTTTTTTTTTAATTGTGATGTGGGTGAAAGTTTACAGAGCAAATTCACTTTCCATACAGCAGTTCACACACATGTTGTCTCATGACATTGACTATAATTTACCCCAAAGCAACAGCTCCCCTCCTACTTCCTCCCAATAGTTACCTCTTCCTCAAAGAGGTCTTTTGTAGCAGATTTGCCCAAAGCAATGTCATTTGATTTCTTGACTGCTGCTTTTATAGGTATTGATTGTGGATCCAAGTAAAATGAAATCCTTGACAACTTCAAACTTTTCTCCATGTCCATGTCTAATGATTTACATGCATCAATTTCTCTAACAGAAGGAGTCATGGTGGCACAGAGGTTAAGCACTCATCTGCTAACTGAAAGGTTGGTGGATCAAAACCCTTACCTCCCTGGGGTCTTTGTTCACTGAAGCCTTTTGGGGGCAGCCAATATGCTATTCCGGCTGCCCCACCCCCACAGCACTCTGGGTCCCCTCACCCTGCTAAAGACTTGGCAATCTGCTTCCATAAAGATTTACAGCCTTGGAAACACCGCAGGGACAGTTCTACTCTGTCCCATGGGGCCACTATGAGTCGGAATTGACTCAACGGCACCTAACAACCACAACAATTCCTCTAATCCTCACAACAACCCACGTACTGTCTGTCATCACCACCCCAACTTTACAGCCAAGGAAACAGAGACAGAGAAAGGTCAAGTTCGCCAGCCAGTTAGTGAAGGATCCCAGGTTCCAATTCACAAGTTGAGCTTCAGGGCCTGTGCTCTCACCATGAAGCTGTGCTACACGTGGCAAAAGCCCACAGGGTGGGTGCTCATTCTGGTTTTCAGGAGAGAAAAACCTAAGAAGATGTCCCATTCATGACACCAGAGCGCCATGTTTTCTGCCTGGGCTGGATGTGTGCAAGCCAAGTATGCCATGCGGCTTGGCCCTCACACGTTTCAGTGACCTGTGGACACCCACAAACATCAACAAACAGCTACAGAGCCCAAGGAGGGCGAGTGAGGGTGCCACCAGGAACCACACGTGCAGTGAGCTACCCCCCTCAGGACACCCTCTGCTGGCCAATTCACAGGGCCAATGACATTCAAGAGGTCTTTGTGGGGCTTCTGGCTAGAGAATGGATGCAGACCCTCAAAAGCATGAGAGCAGAGCCCCACCCAGATACCCCTGCACCCAGGACAGGGAACACCTCCAGGCCTGGCAAACCGGAGCTTCCCACTCAGTCCTTCCCCTCCCAAGCCCAGCCGTGGCCTCCAGGATTTGGGCAAAGAGTATGTCAAAATGGGGCCCACATGGACTTCTGCATGAACAGAACATGCTCTTGCAGGTGAACATGCCAGAGTACACACCTGGAGGCTGAGGACCCGGGCTCTGGACTGGCTTTTGAGGCTTTAAGCCAGCCATGTGGTCTCTCTGGACTCAGACACTCTGAGAAGCGACTCACCGGGCCACTGTCAGCATCCTTGTGAAGTGTCTATGCATGTGACCTATGGAGCCTCCCCACCACCACCTGCCCTCCCTCCATTTCCTCCTCCTGCCTCCCTAACCCCAGTGCAGCCACACTCATCTCCGTGCTGTTCCTCCACCAGCCAGGCCCTCTCCTGCTGCCTTCAGGCCCAGGCTCTGGTTGACCCTCAGTGTCTGCAAGCCTATCTCCTTACTTCCTTCAAGTATTTGCTCCATAAGGCTGCCACACCCCAACCTACTGTGGGGCCCCTCACTCTGCTAACTTTCCCCATGGCACCTAACATCTTCTAGGATCTTATGACTCAAAGTGTGATCTAGGGACCAATATCATCAGTATCACGTGGGGTCTTGTTAGAAAGACACCCAGGCCCCATCTCAGACTACTGAGTCAGAATCTGCACTTTCCCCATGTGACTTATAGGCACATTTAAAGTGAGAGAAACTCTAGTTTAGCAGATAATACGACTTGCTCTGGTAGCGTAGTGCCTAAGGCACTTGACTGCTAACCAGAAGGCTGGCAGTTCAAACCCACCAGCCACTCCTTGGAAGGAAGGTTGGGCAATCTACTTCCATAGTGACACTGCCTCGGAAACCCAAGGAGGGGTTGCTATGAATCCGGTCTGACTCGATGGCACATAACAACAACAACAACATGACTTGCTTATTGATTAGTTTGTCTCCTCCCCACCAGACTATAAACTCTATGAGGGCAGGCATTTATTTGTCCATTGTGATCTCTGCTGGGGCCTCAAGACTACAACAGTGCCTGTCACATGGTGTCGCTGTCGTTACTTGTAACCGAGTCAACTTCAACTCACAGTGACCCCATGTACAACAGAATGAAACACTGCCTGGTCCGGCTCCATTCTCAGGATGCTTGCTACATTTGAACCCATTGTTTATAGCCACTGTGTCAATCCATTTCACCAAGGGTCTTCCTCTTTCTCTCTACCCTTTGCTTCACACCAAGCATGATGTCCTTCTCCAGAGACTGGTCCCTCCTGACAGATAACATGTCCAAAGTACCTGAGATGAAGTCTTGTCATCCAGTTCTGAGGAGCATTCTGGCTATACTTCTTCCAAGACAGATTTGTTCATTCTTCTAGCAGTCCATGCTATATTCAATATTTTTCACCAACATCACAATTCAAAGGCATTGATTCTTCTTCGGTCTTCCTTGTTCATTGTCCAGCCATCACATGCATGTAAACATATATTGAACAAATGAATGGACTGAAAGCAGCCAAGGTTTGTTAGTACTGGGTAGGAACACCTGGTGAGGCCAGCCAGCAGACAGGTGAGCTCACCAACCTGGTCTAGGGCTTCCAAGAGCGATTTTGTCAGCATATGGAACTGTCAGCTCTCACAGGCAGATCCTCATAGCCACGGTCACCAGGAGGGACACAGAGAAGCAGACAGCAGTTCAGTTCAGTTTGTCACAGTAAATGACAAGGGGCCAGCTGCAGCGCTGTGTCAGCAAGCACACCAGTTTCCTTTCATGAGGCCAGCAGCACGGGAGTCCTGCTCAAGGACTAGGACAATGGATTCGTAGCTACAACCCATGACCAGGCTGCAGCTGTCACAGAGAACTAACTGATGAGCCCAACCTGTGCTAAGCCAGTTCTGCCACCTTGGGCTTCACTAGGCTTTCCTTGGGGAACCCAGTGGTGCCGATCCCTTTCTGATAACCCTTCTCCAAGAAGAGAGCAATTGATTAGATGCACGCTTATGAAGACATGAAGGGCCACAAGCAGCCAGGGAACATGAGTGGCTCAAATACAAAAAGATGTTCAGCCTCACTCGTGAGTGAGGTAGGGGTGAGGCTACACGGAGGTAGGATGACTCACCCTTCAGATTGCAAACTCAACAGTCTAATAACACCTTGGGGTGGGGACAGGCACTCCCGGTCCATGACTGATGAGACAAAGGCTGTAATGGGTCCAATCTTGATGTAGGGCCATTTGCATCAACTATCAACATTACAAGTGAACATTACAAATGCTCTGTGACCCAGCTCACTGAACCATGTTTCCCATCTTCTTTTGCTATAACAATCTAATGTGTGTTAACAGGGAACTCGTTTAATAAATCATAGCCCATCATACGATCTAGTATGATCCAGCTGATTAAAGCATGAGAAAAAGTGTTTTTACACTAATGATCCAGGTCATTGTTAAGTGAGGAGAGGCAGCTCCAGAACAATGTCTCTGGTGGCCACTACTGTATTTTATAGAAATCACATGCATGTTGTATGTTTTTCTGTCAATCATGTCCTTCTTTCCTGAGGTATTTTCATCAGCACTATGCTAATTATTTTAAATGTTGCTGTAAAAATAATTAGCATAGCACCCTTAAGAAAATAATTGGGATAGTAGGGGAGGACACTGTTGACAAAAAGGCATATAACACATGTTATCTGTGGAGAAATAAGGTAATTGTGTCAAATATATGAATGACCATACAACTCCATGCTCCGTATATATACAGTGGTATACACTCTTAAAGGGCTTACTCTGAGGAAGCGATTGGGGTAGTTGTGGGACATGGGGGTTGTTGGAGGAGGCAGGAGTCCCTGAGTGGTACAAATAGGAATGCACTCAGCTGCTAACTGAAAGGTTGGAGGTTCGAGTCCACATTAAAGTGTCTTGGAAGAAACCCTGGAGGACCTATTTTTGAAACATCAGCCATTGAAAACTCTACAGAGCTAAGTTCTGCTCTGACAAACATCGGTCACTATGAGTCACCATCAAGTAAATGGCAACTGGTTTGGTTTGGTTGAGGGCACGGGCTGGGGAGTGAGAAGGACAATTTTTATTACATCATCTTCTACTTTTTGAGTTTCAAATTATATGACTATATTACCTATTCAAAGTTTTTAATTAAATTATGCTTAATTCCCTATCCTGAACTACAGTTAGTTTCCAGGGTCATCTTCTTAAAACTAATGCTAAGATAATTTTTCTGTGAATCTAAAACTGCTCTTAAAAAGTCCATTAAGAAAACATGTATGTGTGTGTGTGTGTTAAAGTATTATTACGAAGTCCTAATCAGGATATTCCAACACTTGTTTGTCAGTCTGTCATACTACGGTGGCTTGTGTACTGCTGTGAGGCTGGAGGCTATGCCATTGGTATTTCGGATGCCAGCAGGGTCACCCATGGCAGACAGGTTTCAGCGGAGCTTCTAGACTAAGAGACTGGGAAGAAATAAGGGGCCATCCACATCTCACAAAGCTGGCCAGTGAAAACTTTATGAAAGCAGTGAAACACGGTTTGATATATTATGGGAAAACTTTATGAATAGCTCTGAAACACTGTCTGATTCAGTGCCAGAAGATGAGCCCCTCAGGTTGGAAGGCTCTCAAAATACAACTAGGGAAGAGCTGCCTCCTCAAAGTAGAGTTGACCTTAGTGACGCAAATGGAGCAAAGCTTTCGAGACCTCCACTTGCTGATGGGGCATGACTCAAAATGGGAAGGCATCCATTAATAATCAGAATATCGAATGTAAGAAGTATGAATCTAGGAAAATTGGAAGTTGTCAAAAATGAAATGGAACACATAAAGATCAATATCCTAGGCATCAGTGAGCTGAAATGGACTGGTTTTGGCCCTTTTGAATCAGATAACCATATGATCTGCTATGCTGGAAATGACAACTTGAAGAGAAATGTTCATCATCACAAAAAATGTTTCAAGATCTGTCCTGAAGTACAATGCTGCCAGTGATAGGATAATATCCATATGCCTAGAAAGAAGACCAGCCAATACTACCATTATTCAAATTTATGCACCAACCACAAAAGCCAAAGATGAAGAAATTGCAGCTTTTTACCAACTTCTGAAGTCTGATATTGACCGAACACGCAATCAAGATGTATTGATTATTACTGGTGATTGAAATGTGAAAGCTGGAAACAAAGAACAATCATCAATAGTTGGAAAATAAGGCCTTCGTTGACAGAAATGGTGCTGGAGATCTCATGATAGAATTTTGCAAGACCAATGAATGACTTATTCATTACAAATACCTTTTTTCAGCAACATAAATGGTATCTATATATATGGACCTTACCAGATGGAATATACAGGAATCAGACTGACTATATCTGTGGAAAGAAGCAATGGAGAAACTCAGTATCTTTAGCCCAAACAAGGCCAGGAGCTGACTGTGGAACAGACCATTAGTTGCTCATATGCAAATTCAAGTTGAAGCTGAAGACAATTAAAGCAAGTCCACGAGAGCCAAAATATGACCTTGATTATATCCCTTCTAAATTTAGAGACCATCTAAAGAATAGATTTGATGCACTGAACACCAATGACTGAAAACCAGATGAGTTATGGTATGTCATCAAGAACATCATCCATGAAGAAAGCAAAAGGTCATTAAAAAGACAGGAAAGGAAAAAAAGACCAAAATGGATGCCAAAAGAGACTCTGAAACTTCCTCTTGAATGAAGAGTAGCTAAAGCGAATGGAAGAAATGACAAAAGAGCTGAACAGAAGATTTCAAAGGGCAGCTTAAGATGAAAAAGTAAAGTATTATAATGAAATGTGCAAAGACCTGGAGTTAGAAAAGCAAAAGCGAAGAACATGCTCAGCATTTCTCAAGCTCAAAGAACTGAAGAAAAAATTCAAGCTTCGAGTTCCAATATTGAAGGATTCTATAGGCAAAATATTGAATGATGCATGAAGCATCAACAGAAGATGGAAGGAATACACAGAGTCACTGTACCAAAAAGAACTGATCAATGTTCAACTATTTCAGGAGGTAGCATATGATCAAGAACCAATGGTATTGAAAGAAATCCAAGCTGCACTTAAGGAACTGGTGAAAAATAAGGCTCCAGGAATTGATGGAATACCCACTGAGATGTTTCAACAAACAGATGCAGTGCTGCAGATACTTACTCATTTATGCCAAGAAATTTGGAAGACAGCTACCTGGCCAATCGATTGGAAGAGATCCCTATTTGTGCCCATTCCAAAGAAAGGTGATCCAAGAGACTTTGGAAATTATTGAACAATATCATTAATATCACATGCCAAGTAAAATTTTGTTGAAGATATTTCAAAAACAGTTACAGGAATATATTGACAGGAAACTTCTAGAAATTCAAGCCAGCTTCAGAAGAGGACATGGAACTAGGGATATCATTGCTGATGTCAAACGGATCTTGGCTAAAAGTAAAGAATACCAGAAAAAGGTTTACTTGTACTTTATTGCCTATGCAATGGCATTCAACTGTGTGGATCATAACAAATAATGGATAACATTGAGAAGAATGGGAAGTCCAAAACACTTAATTGTGCTCATGAGGAACAGACCAAGAGGCTGTTGTTTGAAAAGAACAAGGGAATACTGCATTGTTTAAAATCAGGAAGGGTACATGTCAGTGTTACATCCCTTCACCATCCTTATTCAAACTGTATGCTGAGCAAATAATCCAGTAAACTGGACCATATGAAGAAGAATGTGACATTAGGATTGGAGGAAGACTCATTAACAACCTGGAATATGCAGATGACACAAGCTTGCCGAAAGTGAAGATGACCTGAAGCACTTACTGAAGAAGATCAGAGACTCAGTCTGCAGCATGAATTACACCTCAACACAAAGAAAACAAAAATCCTCACAACTGGACCAATAAGCAACATCACAAAAAAAAGAGGAAAGATTGAAGTTATAAGGGATTTCATTTTACTTGGATCCACAATCAACACCCATAGAAGCAACAGTCAAATCAGATGTCATACTGCTCTGGGCAAATATGCTGCAAAAGACCTCTTTAAAGTGTTAGGAAGCAAAGATGTCACTTTGAAGACTAAGGTGCACCAAAGCCAAGCCATGGTATTTTCAATTGCCTCATATGCATGTGAAAGCTGGACAATGAATACGGAAGACCAAAGAAGTATTGATGCTTTTGAGTTATTGAGTGTTGGTGAAGAATGCTGAAAATACCATAGAGTGCCAAAAGCATGAACAAATCTGCCCTGGAGGAAGTACAGCCGAAATGCTCCTTGGAAGTGAGAATGGCCAGACTTCGTCTCACCTACTTTGGTCGTGTGTCAGAAGGGGCCATTTCCTGGAGAAGGATATCATGCTTGGTAAAGTAGAGGGTCAGTGAAAAAGGGGAAGACCCTCAGTGCGATGGATCGATACGGTGGCTGCAATGATGGGCTTGAGCATAGCAAGGATTGTGAGTCTGGCACAGGGCCGGGCAGTGTTTTCTGTTGTACACAGGTCACTATGAGTCAGAGCCACTTGATGGCACCTAACGACAACATCAGGATATTGGGATATTGGGAGTTCCCAATCTCCCTGGAATCACATTCTCAGCTAATCAGGCTTATTTACACAGATGGCTGACAGGACTGCCTAAATGGAGAGGCTTGGTGGCACGGTGGTTAAGCGCTCAGCTGCTAACCAAAAGGTTAGTTGTTCAAACCCACCAGCTCTTTCTTTGGAGAAAGATGTGCCAGTCTTCTCTCATAAAGATTTCAAGCTTGAAAACCCTACAGACAGTCTACTCTGTCCTAGAAGGTCGCTATGAGCTAGAATCAATTCCACAGTACATAATAACAGATTTCATTTTTAACGTATCAGGCAAACTAAATTCCTTTCTTGAATGTACAGGAGGGGCCCAGCTATCATCCCATGTAAGTCCCCTCACAACTCTGACTTGTTCTAATTAGAGCTGAGCTGACTTCAGACATCAGCTACAACCTCCCCCTTTGGCAGATGGGAGACATCAGGGCCAGGGAGTCAGTCTCAGGGTCATTCTCCAGGGCCACCTCATACGTATGTTGTACATAACATTGCTAGGAGTTGGAGACAACAACAATAACCTTGTACTGTTACTTATCACTCACTCTGTGTGTGTGTGTATATGTATGTATGTGTGTGTGTGTGCTCCCATGCTGGCTCTCCTGTGTCCCTGCTGTGTCACCCTGCACCAACATAAGTACTTAACGTCCCTGGGCCTCAACTCATCCACAAAATAAGGATGATGCCACACCTGACAACCATCTTCTGGCAACAGAGTCTATTCTAATGACAATGCCATTAGGAGAGAGCTCTCTATCAAAGTCCACATCCCATTCTCTGGCCTTTAGTGCCCTGTTTAGCATGGTCCCTACCTCACACCCTCATCTCCCACCGCTTCCTCCTCTCACTCTACTCCAAACACACCTAACTTGTTTGCACTGCTGTTCCATGATCTTCTCTGCCCCTGGACTTTTGTACTGGCCATTAGTCTTTTTCCTCTCTCTGCACCAGGTCACTGCTACTTATCTAGAGTGTCTCAGGTTGAACATCCCTTCTTCAAGGTAGCTTTTGCTCCGTGGGCCAAACTCCAATTCTATACTCTGATTGCCTCTTGTATTTGTTCATAGCTCTTCTCAACCATATAGCCCCTTGTTCAAAGTCTGTGTTTCCAAGGAGACCCTAACTTCTCCCTGAGGGTCAAGACGCTTATTCAAGGTCTCCTACAATAGTACTGAGCACATAGCAGGGGCTCAAATGTGACTTCTCTTCCTCCTTTCTGTTTGTCCCCAACACCTGGCATTCTTACTCCACCTCCTCAACTAAATAAGCCTGTGACTTTCAAGTAAGAGAAGGTTCTCATGGGCACATGTCCCCGTTCAGACCAGTGGAGGAAGCAGAATGCTGAGAAGCATCTTTTAAATTTTGTTGTTGTTGAAAATATACACAGCAAAAGACGCACTAACTCAACAGTTTTACATGTATAATTTGGGGACGTCGATCACATTCAAATGTGCCACCACCACCATTCTCACCCTGCTCTTCTGAGTTGCTTCTCTCCTATCAACATAAACTCACTGAGCCCTCAGCATCTTATCACAGCTTCAAACCTACCAGCTGCTCCACAGGAGGAAGATATGACAGTCTACTGTTAAGATCAACAGCCTTGGAAACCCTCTGGGGCAGTCCTACTCTGTCATATGGGGTCTCCATGAGTTGGAATCGATTTTGACGACAGTGGGTTTTTGGTTTGGTAATTTCCGCATAACCAAAGGAAAACAAAAGCCAAACCAGTTGCTTTCAAGTCAATTTGGACACATGGCAACCCCACAGGTGGA